GACCAATTTTCGTCAATTGTTGCTGTTCGTCGTTTGTCAAAGAGGACATGCAAAGACCTTCCGGGAAAAGCACTTTGGATTTCGGGAGACTGAGCTCAATGTGTGTGTGTGTGTGTGTGTGTGTGTATGTGTTTTTTTCCGGCACCATCTGCCGTCTTTCAACAATAATATTAAGTTGGACGGTATGCAAGGCGTGCCTGGGAATGCAGTGCAAGAAACNTCGGAGGCATCCTCTTTTGGTTGGTCGTGTGTTCACCCTCGAACTGGTGGTGTTGCATCTGTACATTTTGCAGCTCTGGACTTAGTTCGTGTTCCCTCGGCCCGACGCTGTACATTTTTGCCGTAGGTGAGAACCGTCATCAGTCGCGCTGAGAGGGAAAGCGCCGCAGATGTCGAAGACGCACGGCAGTTCTTGGGCATGTTCCAGACGGAGGATGTGTGGGTGAGATTCCAACTGGACGAGGACAGGCGCGTGGCGCGCATTGCTTGGGCGCTCGACGAGCAACAGCGCAACGCGCTGCGGTACTCCAGCATCATCATCCAGGACAACACCTTCAACACGAACGAGTGAGTGTTTTTTTTTCTTTTGCCTGTTCTGCTGTGGAGATCGCAGCGTTTTCTGCTGTTCTTTCGGTTTCCTGGTCGAAACGTACGGCTCGCTCGCCTGTTGCGAACAACCTCCTGACTCCATGTTCGATTTGTGCTCAATGTTTTGGTCGCACCCCTACCAGATACAAGTACCACTTGGCACTAATCGTCGTCGTCGACAACGAGAACTACACCCAGATCGCGATGCAGGCCCTACTTGCGAACGAGCGGACTGAGGACTTCAAGTTTCTCTTCCGGGTTTTCGGGGGACTGTGCGAGGGGCTGCAGCCAGAGGTAAGCCCGCCTCCCATTTGCAGCGTACAAGAGTTCCCGTAGATCGCGATGCAGGCCCTACTTGCGAACGAGCGGACTGAGGACTTCAAGTTTATTTTCCGGGTTTTCAGGGAACTGTGCGAGGGGGTGCAGCCAGAGGTAAGCCCGCCTCCCATTTGCAGCGTACAAGAGTTCCCGTAGAGCGTTGTCTTGGGACACGTCGGCTATTTACCCTTTGAAACTCTTTTGCCCCAAAGGGTATTTCGTTCGTGAAGATGGTGTACGATGAGTTTCGCTGAGTGCATCTTCCTGACGTCCTTGCCCTTTCCCTCAACGCGCGTCGGCCACTCTGTGCGAAGTACGTGATCTTCACTGACGCTGACCAGGCAGCAATGACGGCAATCGATGAAGAGTGCCCGGCATCGCACCAGAAGCTGTGCCTGTTCCACATGGATGAGAACCTCATGAAGCACGGCAGAGGCCTTGAGCAGGGCGTCCTGGCGGGGGTGGAGGGGATGATCCACGCAGCAGCGTACGCTCAAACGGAGGAGGTGGGTAGTCGACTTGGGGAGTTAAAGTTCTGGTTCAAAAATTGTGGTGTGGATCAAGCGCCTCTTAGACAGAGTTCGGGGCAAAGGCTGCAATATCCACGGGGCGTGTACGGATGGTGCGTGCCGACGGTGCATGGTTCAAACTGGTACGATCTTTCTTTCCTCGCAGCTTTTCAGATCAAAACTTGAACCTGCAGTCTCCTCCTCCGTCCCGTCATGTCCCCCCTCGGCCTCGCCTGCTCCGCTCCTTTCTCGGCTTGGCAGATGTTCCTGAAGCACAAAGCGAATCTATTGAAGCAGCTTAAGCTGGACAGTCACATGTACAAGTACATGGCTGACTTTGTTTTCGAACCAAGGCAAGCAGTGTCTGGCACAGCAGCACTCCAGACAGTGATGCCCAAGGTACCTCGACCGGGGAAAGCTTGGTCGGTTGCGGTTGCCTCGCCCCCCTCCGTGGGCTCCTTCCTTGTCGCATTTTTTTTTCGCTCAGCTTTTGTGTTTTTCACCCCCTCTACCCCTCGCGCCACCGGGGAATCAACGTGCCCCGTTATTCTGTGGTCGTTTGGGTTGTCATTGTCTTCGTTGTTTTTTTTTGTCGTTCAGCTGTGCACCAGTTGCTCTCCTTCGCTTTTGACACCGTGGCTTCCGGCCTGCCGCACGCAACAGGCGGGTACAGNATTTTTTTTCGCTCAGCTTTTGTGTTTTTTACCCCCTCTACCCCTCGCGCCACCGGGGAATCTACGTGCCCCGTTATTCTGTGGTCGTNCCCCACGCAGCGAGTGGAATCGATCAACGGCGCCTTGAAGACGGCGATGCACAGGTCGGGGAGTATGGTTGACGTGCATGACACCATCGTCGGCAAGGTTCAGGNACCGTGGCTTCCGGCCTGCCGCACGCAACAGGCGGGTACAGCGGTGGGCTTCGTTTGTGCACCCTGGACTCCACACGGTCAACATTGCCTCCACGCAGCGAGTGGAATCGACCAACGGCGCCTTGAAGACGGCGATGCACAGATCGGGGAGTATGGTTGACGTGCATGACACCGTCGTCGGCAAGGTTCAGGGTGACGCCAACAAAAGCAAAAGGTGGGCAATATGTTGGAATCGTCGGTTGTTGTTAAGGCAACATCTTGTGTGCTTTGTGAAATGTCGTGGCCAACTGTTCACAAATGGAAAGGTTGTGGGCTGCCTGGCCATAAAATGCTTTTTTCACCAGCTGACAACCAACGTGCGTTTCCACCACCGTCTGTCGAGAACGACTAAACATACCTCGAAAACCACGGGAAGCCCAAGTCATATTTACTCCTTCGACTGGCAGGTGAAATTACGGCGTCGAGTCAAATTTGCATATCCACTGCTTCATTGTATTGCCTCTGCAAAGTGTGTGTTGCTTTCCCATCATCAACTCATTCCATCTTGTATTCGCCCTCTTGCTGCTGGTCGGTGCGCTTTGAAGGCAAACCACTGGGGGGGCGGTCCAACGCGTGCGTCCACCGACAGCCTCGCCCTTGGAGACTGTGACGAACAGCTGGCTTGAAGGTTTCGACTACGTCCGGCGGGCTATGCGCCACGTGGAATGCAGCGCCTACGCTATGAAGGTCAGTTTTTGAAGTCGTACGTCTACTGGGTGCAGAACTTTTGGAATATTGCCCCTTTCCCCCCTTGCACCCTTAGTCCCTCCTTCCCCGCCCACCCGTTCGACCCTGTCATACCTTACTATTGCAATGCCTACCGTAGAGCGCGGCAACAGTGATATCTGCATGCGTTGCACAGCACCAACGAAGACGTGTGTTGATCCATGCGTTTCCCCCCTCCCTCGTATACCGTCTTCGCGTTGTCGTCCCGTACAACCTTGCAGGACATGTCCACCGAGGCCTTGGCGGCAATGGCCTACGACGTCGAGATTCTGACGACGGGCAATGAAGATGTCCATCGCGAGATTGCCAGGATAGTGTCGGACCCTGCTATCGCGGGGCTGTCGTACGACCCCACCTCCGGTGGAGGCGACGGCACGTGGACCACGAGGACATCCGTCAAGTTCTTCGCGGAGTTGCTCGAGGACCAGGTTCTGGACAAACTCGTGCGCATCACCAGGAGCTTCTCGGATGGGGGACCCAACTACGGCCATCTCGTCGCCCTTGGACCCGATGGCTTCGTCCTCTGCACGTGTCTGAGGCTCCTTGTCTACGGTCTTGGCTGTCGGCATGGTCTCCGGGCCGTGCGCGATACGGATTTCGGCTTCAACGGAGGGTGTATTGCGTCCCGCTGGCGTGACAGCACTCAGCCGTGGACGATGGAACACCTCGCCGCTAAACGTGCGGCACCAGCAAATACAGCTGCGGGCGTTCCCGGAGATATGCCGCCCGCTCCTACGGATCCCGGCGTTTTCTCCCACTCGAAGCCCACGGCGAGAGTAAGCAATTGGGCCAGCTGCGTCGCCTTCGGGAAGGAGCTCGCATCTCTCATGACAGACGTGGACGCCGTCGCCCCCTGCCAACGCGTCCTCAACAACCTCACCAACTACGCCAAGCAGCTCATCGAGGTGGAGGCGAGGTCGCAGCATGAGGCCACCACGAACCGGATTTTCACGGGAGTCGTGGCCCGGCCTGTGACCGCCACCGACCCGCCAGAGGGAGGGCCGGTGGGGGCCGGGCCGGGAGGGGGCCGCGGACGAGGGAACGGGCGAGGGCGAGGCCGGGGTGGGGCAGGCGAACGTGGTGGGAGAGGGTCAAGAGCAAGACGTGGAAAGGGAGGGGAGGGTCTTGGTGTTTCCGCGGCGAGCACGCCGAGCCTTGCCGTGGGTGGCCCGGCGTTGCCACAGGCGGACGGCCCCGGCAACACGGGCGGGGGCGAGGAGGGGGGAGGGTCGGGTCTAGGTGTTGCCGCGGCCGGCACGCCGAGCCTTGCCGTGGGCCGCCTGGCGTTGCCACAGGCGGACGGCCCCGGTAGCACGGGCGGGGGCGCGGAGGGGGGAGGGTCGGCGTTTCCGCGGCCGGCACGCCGAGCCTTGCCGAGAATCTTCCGTCTCGCAGGGCTGGTGTCGCCGGCGCCGCTATGGATTCTTTCCCGACACCCTCGAACGCGACACGCCCGGTCGGGGGGCTCGGGCGCACCGCTTCGGTCCTTGAGCAATTCTCTTCATGACGGGGTGGGGTAGACTTCGCCCGGTGTCACGTCCTCGGCGTCGTTGGCTTTCGACGCGGTAAACTCCTGCGCGCCGGAGGGTTTCCAGCAATCAAGACTATACGGAGAAAGACTAAGTGCCCACGACAACCACGGGCAGCCCCTGCCTTCGACGCCCCAAAATGTTGCTTTCTTGGACGAGGTGCGCTCTCCCCCGAAAAGGAAGCAAACAGGACCGACAAAAAGGCGCAAGTCGACGGCCCAGAGATACAACCGTGGTGGAGGACAGCATGTCATTCAGGGCGGTGCCGAAGCGGCTTGGGGGATTTAGGAGTAGCGTCGGCTTTTGTCTTTTCGACTGCGTTGAGTGTGCTTTTTGTCATGGCGTAGGAAGGGATGATGCATGTCCCGGAAGTGTTTTCGTTCGGTATTTTTGATTTGCTTGGGGTCCACTGCTATGATTTCTCGGGGCGGAGGGGCTTTTCTTGGCAACCCACAACCTGTGCGCCAACCAGCTGTTTAGAAGTCAAGGATCTAGAGAGAGAGCTAGCGTGGATATGGCGGGGCAAGGCGTACAAGACGCGCGCACGCAAACCGCACTTGCTTGAGACTTGGTGAGCGTGCCATGGTTGTGTTCAGGCGTGGTCGTGGAAGACAAAGCGTAATTTTGATGGAGTTGAAGGTGGGCAAACTTTGTGGTTTGTGATCCCCCGCTGTAACCCCAATGTGATGGGGTTGTCCATTCTTTCTGCAGGTTGGTAGTGGTGGCTGATTGGAGAGGACCACTGTGCGAAGCCCGAAGCACAGCGGAAGTCATCTCGTCGAACTAAACGGATACGTCCAATTGCCTTTAGTCTATCAAGTGGCCACAACCTCCAACCATGCAACATGTGAGCGCTCCCTTCAACCTCCCGTTTGCTCTATGTAGCTTACACCCATCAGTTCATTCCTCAACGGACCACAACGCAGGTGATCAGGTTTCAACAACATCCATACCACTCAAATACGGCAACCTTCCACCCGCCTGCCTCATGCCCGCAGATATCACAGCAGTGCGGCAGATTCAAGATCAAGATATATGTACACGAAGTAAATTACTCCTACATATAGTCTAGAGAAGACTAATTCATCAGCGGACACCGCTATACGGCCGCTCTCTGCACTGCTGTCGTCACTACCATTATTCTCGGGAAGATCCACGAGGAGGATGTCTGCTGCTTGGTTTGCTGTGTGCTCTGTGATACGGTGCATGGTGCGGTGGTCCGGTTTGTGGTTTTGTGATTGAAAATGTGGGTCTGATTAAAAATATGGTTCTGTAAGGGCTGGTTCGGGAGGCGTTTGTGAGGGCAGGAGGATTCTCATCTGCCCTCGAGGGCAGATTCCCGGGCGCCGGATACCCGCCCCCGCGAGGAAAACAAAACCATAAGTTGATAACAACACAGCATGCTTCTGCATTTACTGCCTTAGGGTAAACTTACTGGATCCTCGTCCAGTAGGGGTAAATGTGGTGGTATCCTTTCGAAAAATAAAAAAAATAAAAAATTTTGCCAGCAATGGCACAGAAAATCCGCGTGCCAGTCAGACACGCCTCTAGAACCATGGCGTTACAAAACCTATTTTGAATTTTAACACGCGCGACGGCCTGCTGTACCTCGCACACGCAGTAAACACATATGTAACACCAACAGCAGCCGACGGCACACGGGATTAAGTAGTATATCCCTCCACTGCTGCGCACCGCACCCCACGGGCTCGGAACCCGAAGCACAAAGCACGTTTTGTAAGGCCATGGTTCTGGAGGCGTGTCTGACTGGCACGCGGTTTTTCTGTGCCAATGTATGGGAGGTGACTGCTTTACCGCTTGCGCCATTTTTTTAACCTACTCAGGTCATGTTAGGTGATGCCTACTTTCTGCTACTCCCTGATGTGACCGTTGCAGGTGCAGTATGCCTGCTTGGATGCTTACGCGTCCGTTCTTGTTTATCAGGAGGTGGCGAAGTTCCAGGATCCTATTCTTTCCCCTCCTCCGGTGGAGCTGCAACCCGGAACAAAGGTGTGTGGATACAGTGTACCGGTCGTACCGAACTCTTTCTTTGTCCAGCACAAGAATGACGCCCGCAGCCGAATCTCATACCTGGGTCGACTTCAACATGATTTCCATGTGATATCGCCGTGTGTGTTCATGATGCTAGGTACGACTCTACAGCAAAAACCATGCCAGCTGTGTTGGTGTTGGAGAGGTACAGGACGATGAAATCGCTGCCGAAGCCTTGGATCGCTGGCGCCCTTCCGCACGGAGAAAAGGGCGTCTGACGCAAGTGGTTGTCATGCTGAGCGGGGTGTTCAAGCCTGCGGCGTACATCCCACACAAAGGTGCACCACGTGCGGCCTCGGGTGTGGGTCGCGTGACGATGAAAGACGCGAACAGTGACAAAGGTGACCGACTTGTGCTTTGGGACATCGCCCATGTTCGTCTCGTGAGCGACTGGAAACCACTTCCTGCGGCAGCAGCACCTTCAGCGAATGCGAATGATAGTGCAGCTTACGACGACAACGACCAGTTCTACGCTTCCAAGAGACCTCCGCACGTGGTGCACTCACAAGGTAAGAATGTCTCCCTCCTCTCTCCATTCGGTGAACAATGTGCCGAACAGCTGCATGCCCCCGGTTTCAGGCAAGATTTTCTCTGACCCGCTTTTTTACACAATATATTTTCTTTTCGCGTATTTTTTCGCAGATGATGAAGACCCGGACGACGGCGATGAGGACGAATACGATGGTCATGACTGCGGCGACATCGGTAGTTCCGGCGGCGGCGATCACTGGGTCGGGGCAGGGGGCGAGGCCGGGGGTGCGGGGGGCGGACCAGGCGGTGGGGGAGGCGGAGTCGGGAGCGGGGGAGGTGGAGCCGGGAGCGGGGGAGGCGGAGCCGGGAGCGGCGGTGATGTCGACATGGATTACTGGGTGAGTGAGTGTCAACGTGTGAGTGATAGCCTTTTCCTAGGCTGCTTTTTGTGCTGAATTTGCTCCTTTTTTCCATCCGACTTTCCAACATCATTGTCCGAATGTCCAATGTTGTGGCTGTTGAATGTTGGCCAAATGTTTTCAGGTAGGTAACGGGGAGTCTGCGCTGAAGGTTCGCCTGGATATCTTCCACGCACTCCAACGCGTTTCAAAGCTGTGCAAGAAGAGCCACGGCGCCTTCAGGCCCTTCATGGCTCGACTGAGAGATGCTTGCTTCATTGTCAACCTGGATGACATCAAAGAGGCAAGTGCTGTTGTCCTCGTCATCGTCGGTCGGATCAGTACTTTGACAAGGCTTCAAATGTCCACATATTATTGCGTGCGCCTGGTTTGTGTATCGTCACTGACGTCCAATTCCATTTCAAACTGCAGGTAGAGCAGGCCCTTGCCGGCAAGGGAATGACACCAGAAGCCGTTGTTGAGTACAAGGACAAGAACTGGACGTTCTTCGTTCGGAATTGTCGGCGGCTGGTGCCGGAGCAGAAACGATTGCTCGAGCGCTTCAATTTGGTGATTCGTCAGTTCCAGGACGTAGTCGATGCGAAATCTGGAGAAACACTTCTTCGGCCGTGTGCGAGGCAGGCCGTCGAACTGCTCCGCAAGCATATCGAAAGTGGCTGCCTGAGCGACCCTGAACGTGTGCCATTGTACTACACTAAATCAGCGGGGATCACGACTCGTCGCTGCGTTCGAGGCACCAACTGCACCGAGGTACCAGGCTTATTCGCTGCACGGTATCCTTTTGCGTGAAAGCCCGTTGCTTGGTGAAATGCCTTCAGGATACAGCGTCATCACCTCTTATGGCGGTATTGAGTTTCTTCGCTTGGCGGTCAGTAATTTGTTTCGTGTATATGTAACCTAGTTTCTTTCCCGGCCTCCTCCATGCACTTGCCCTACAAGGGTTATCATCGCTACCTTCGCAGGCTGCTCTCAACTTACTGCGCGTCTCCTTCACTGGCTCACTCCGTTCTTCTCGAGTTCAACTACCGTTGGAATGTTAGGATGGCTGTGAAGAACCGCGGCCTACCAAGGGAGGTTGGGGAGTTCTTCGATCAATTCGAGATTGAGATAATTCAACGAGAGACTGCTAGCTGGTACCCAGACAGCCCCTTGTTTCCTGAATGGGTCTCTGCGCTTGACGCAGCAGACACTGGTGAGCAGAGCGGCCTTTCTGAGAGCCTGTGGGGGCCTGCCAGTGGTGGGGACGTACCGAGCGAGCCTAGCGATCTTGTTGACGAGCAAGGGTTGGCCCAAAACGCCGTACCAATGCCAAAGCTCACGCATTCTGCGAAGAAGTACGCCCAAATGATGCATGCCGGCATGCCGGTCACGCCCGTTCATACTGGAGCAGAGAAACGAAATTTTGCGAGCGAGCTGAACAGCCAACTCTATTTGCCGGGGCAGCCAGAGGGGAGGAATGAGAAGTACCAAAACATCAACTTTGATGCCTGGGCCGGAGCATGGAACCAGCATTGTGCCAAGATCGAGTCTGGTCTTGTGGAGTTTGAAGCAGTGTATCGTAAAACCTCAGGTCAGCTGCAGTCGTACCACCAAAAGTTCCTTGAACGTGCTAACGCTCAATTTACGATGTTGCCTTTGCGCAATCAGCATTCAGCGCTGCGTGTGCACCTACAGGAAGGTGAAGAGGGTGCGGCTTTTGGTGATTTAGTCGGTGTCAGTGTCCCCCTTGCTGTTCCACGGAGTGTGGTCGTTGCAGGAGGGGGTGCTGCGGGTGGGGAAGACTTGAGGGAAGATGATTCAGAGATGGTGGACGTTGGTGATGACGATGAGGATGGCATTGGTGGTGGCGGCTTTGACGTTGGTGGAGGTGGGATTGAGGTACAAACCCAAGCAAAGGGGAAGAAACGCAAGGGGCCCCCGCGGGAGCCGCAGATTTGCACAACTTGCGGCCACCGCAAACAGCAAGGCTCGTACAAGAGCGCGCACGCTCACCCGCGAAACAAGTTGGGGAGCCCGCCTTGCAGTGTGCCACCAGGAGAGCGTCGGCCGGAGAGTAAGAGAACAGGAAGGCTTCAGCGGGGGCAGAAGTTGTTCGGCCGGTGTGATTGTGCGAAGTGTTGCTCAGCGGATGGTTGAAAATATGGTGCGTGTGTGTTTGGGTTTCGGTATGGCATTTAGTACCAGTAGTGAGTAAGTGCACAATGAAGTGTGTGACGGTATTGTCCGGGATATTTGGGCGAAGTTCCGAACACCATTTATTGCGGGTGATCCCTTGGAAACAACAATACTTGTAGTTGTGTTGTTTTTTTGTTTTCTTAATATGACACAACGAATCCATCTCTATCCAAGAAAGTAGTCTAGGATAGATTGGCAGTGATCCACATTGTCAGAGTTGTTGGTTTCCTCGCCCATCTCTACTTTTTGGCCGTGGTTGTTCGCGCGCTCTCTGATCTTGATGCTTAAGTTTTCAAACCAAATCACATGTACGTTTATCCCGACCAAAAAGGTTACGCATAGCAAGCCCAGAAGCGCTTATCCTCACCTTCACGAGCAAAGCCAACTCTACTGCTGACGTGCACCGCAACAACTGTATTGTACGGGCACCAAAACAACTGTATACGTGCACCAAATCAGCGTGTTTTTATGTTTAAATTCTCCAAAAAATTCGCGCTTCGCGCGAAATAATTTACTTATCTTTTGTTGGACCCCTATGTATGGGAGGTGAGCCAAATTTTCGCCGCGGGGCGGTCGCCCGGGTCTAGTTGAAAAACCTTATAGAGGTCAGGTTAGGGGTTCGAATCCCGGCGTAAGCGAGCTTTTCTTGCAAATTGAGTTTTTCTCTCGCTTCCGCTCCTGGCCTAGTGGATAGCGCTAGTTCGTGTGTGCACAGAGGGAAGTGAGTGCTGAACTCTCCTCGCATCAAAAATCGAAGGCAAAGTACCGCAGGAGGGGAGAATAGAGAGGGCTCTTCTGTGTGACTACCGGTTGGAGTTTGTTGTTGTTGTTGTTGTTGTTTTCGTCCTATTTATTATGGCGGCAGTCCCTCCATGTTTCGTGGTGAGACGAATACTACACTTTTTCAGCGCATGTAGGGTAGTACTACACTTTTCAGTGTATTTTTTCGTACAACTACAACCATCCAGGGTCACACAGGAGGGGGTAAACACCAGGGCTTTTTCCTGCTTTTGTTTCTCTTCATGCCCCACCTTCCTCCTGCGGTGCGGGCTGAATTTCATTGTTATCGCGAGAAGGGTCCAGCCGTCCCTTTCCCTCGTCAACGGTGCTGACGTCGAAGTTTGGTACTCACGTAGTAAACGGCACCAGTGCTGTGAGCGCTGATTTGAAGCGAAGACAAGAAAAAAAAAAGTCACAAGTGTCGGTTCGACGGTTCGACAATCAATCCATCGACCAAGCAAGCGCGCCCGTTTCATCCTCAGGCGATCCGCGGGAAAAGACAGGATTTTCTTTTGTTGTGACTGCAGTTGTCGCCACCCGAGAATAGCCTGCAGTTCTTTCTGCCTGCGGCTATCACGTCACCTCCTCCTGTGCTTCTTTCTATCGGTCTCACGTTATGAGAAATCCACGAGGCCAGTGGTTCATCAGCAATCCGGATGATGTGTTCTGTACCAACGTCCGAAGACCAGTTGATGTGGCGCATCCTGTTGCGCCAGTGTCATGCTTCGAGGAGCACCGCCGGCTTTGCAATGCTGTCCTCGACGGAAGGGTGGACGTGCTCCGGAGCTTGTTGGTGGATGGCGAGCTGGACGTAAACGCACGAAGCAAAACAGGAAACACGGCCGGACACGAGGTTAGAGCAGTCATCATGCGCGTTTTGCATTCTCACCGAATGATACCATCCCGTTGATTGCCACATTTAAATTTACCTACATAGACTATGCCAACACATGTATCGGCTAATATGTGTCAAAAACATACACATAAAAATTGTTGACTAGCATCATAATTATTGGGGCGAACACACACACGTACATCACTTCCCGCCGGCACACAGGCGGCGATAGAGGGTCGTGTGGAGGAAATGTCTACACTCATTTGCCACGGATTGGATATTGACGCGGTCAACGACGAGGGGAACACGGCCCTACACCTAGCCTCGAGGCACGGCAGGGTCAAGGTGGCAAGGCGCTTGGCAGAGGCCTTCCCAAATGAGGAGCTCATGAACCACAGAGGGTTTACCGCGCTTGATGAGGCTCTACAGGCCGGGCGCGCGCAATGTGGCAGCTGCATTCGAGGCTTCACCGATTTCGGGAAGGCCCAAATGCTGGAGGGGCACTGCCACATCGAGAGAGAGAGGCTGGGGAAGGTGCGGAGGAACAAGGTACGAGGCGGTATCAACTTGTCGAATTGCCGATATCTCAGCCCCTCTACAGCAGTACGTGGTGGTATTTGTGTACTTGTATGCATAGCATGGATTGTTTTCGGTTGAAATCTGTTGGTCTTGGGTGAGCTTCAAATTTTTCCTCGTTCGATACAAACCGAAACACAACTTTCATTTGAGTTCACGTTTTGAGTTGCTCGCATGCCAATTCATTTGAAGTCTTCGCAGATAGATCATGGTAGTGCAACGTGCTTGCCTACCGCGATCAACTGGTTCTTTCTTGCAGGAAATCCTGTACGGCCGGGATATGGACGTTCAGCCGCGCGAGGACGACTTTCGGAGCATGCGGGCCTGCGCCATCACAACCAACGATAAGGCGCTTATCTGCGCCTCATTGCAAGCGAGTGCCGTGACATTGCGCTGCATTGCGGCAGGTCTCCAGCTCGCGGAGAAGGCGTTGGCGAAGCGTGCACAGCGTCGAAAACACGCCCGCCGTCGAAAAGTCGTGGGCGGGCGCAAGTAAGGAACAACACAGACAGACCGTGCTCTGTTCGGTCTTTACTTTATGTCTCCCTTGCAGCAGTAGTCTACATGGTGAGGGCACAGACGGGATGGCCATCGACTCATTGGCACAACACTTCAGGCTACGCAAACGGAATACACAATACACTGTAGGGCCGATTGAACCCCAGTCGGACACTTCGGCAACAACGTTCTCGAGCCCATGCCAGAGGATACCATGTGACACCTCCACAGAGCAAAAAAACGTAATGTAATGGCAAAACACAAACTGCAATTTTTGGTGGCGATGCAGTCACGAACGCGAAGATGAAGATAGTAATAGGCACGAACGTACCCGACTAGATGGTCCAAAGTTTCTTACATTGTTTCGAAGGCTAAACAAAGTGCAGAAACACACCCAAAGTCCGCCCGAAGCACCCTAATCCCCGGAAAAAGATCCTACACGAAAGATAGTGGCGCTTCTGCGGTACTCACCCGACGTTATCCCACTCATTCCTACTCATCAAGTCGAGCAACAAAGAACACCCGATGAAAACCGCAATACGAAGTCAGACAGCCCCATTCCTACACAACAAGAAGGCCACTCCCCCACCGGGAAACGGGAGTCGCATGGGCGTTCGTTCAATTCCACGCGCTCGCGCGACGGGCTAGTTCTTCCTGCGCCGGCGACATACAGGTCACCATGCTCACGCGCGCTTCCGGAATTCGTGGAGACGGAACGTGCTCGACGGCAACTCATTGAAATGCACCATGTACTCGTCCTGAGACCCTGAGAGCAAGGGGTTCTGACAGAACTCGGGGGGCGCGTCTGTGACGGAAACCAGCTCAAAGTCGCTGTCTCCGCCGCCGCCCGCGGCAGCCCCCTCCCTACCCGCGGTGCCGCAGAGACGCGCGAGAAAGCCTTCCAGGCCGTCCCTCTCGCTCACGGGAGCCACGTGGAAGAACGAGCCTCCGGGTTCAAGGAGGGAGAGTATCGCGTGCAGCAGCGGCGACGTCTCGCTGGCCTGGTACACTACGTCGGCCGCGAGGATCACGTCCACAGGGGGCTTGGCCTCTTCCCACGTGGACTCGTCCCCCCAGTCAAGCTTCACCGCGCGAACCTTGAACAAACAAAAAGGCAAGAGGATGAACAGCCGTATTTCAACAACACCAAGACCGACCAAATGCTCACGACAGAGATACCCCTCCTTTGTATCCGAAACAAAATAAAAGGATTTTTGCATGATTGAGCTGTGATTGGGCCGACTGCGTTAAGGCCACAAGACGCGCATCTTAGAAACTTGCAAAGCAAAGGATGCGCGCCTCGACGACGACCTCGGGCGATCACAACAAGAACAAATCTACTTCCTATTATTTCCAAAGCTTTGCCACGACAAAGCAGCATGTTGAGCATGACCCCGACAAAACCTGAGGCATTCAGCGACGAGATAGGGCGCCAGGGCGAACATACACCTACCTCCGTTTCCGCAGGATACCGATGGCGGTTAAGCTCGATGTTGTGGTCCAGGTTCGCCATCGTTTCGGCGTTGAGGTCCGTGATCAGCATTGAAGCTGGGCTCCCGTGCACAGCCGCCGAAATTCCCCTGGAACACGAATACGTCATGGGACGGGTCACCGAACAGCCCATAGGAAAAAGAAGCTGGTTGTTGGTGTGTTGTGCAAGCTTCCGACTTATGGCCAAAGCGGGGAGGAAAGAGTATGGTCAGAAAACGATTCCCGCAGTAAGGTGCACAAAAGCGTTCGGATGAAGGCCATGCAGAGGAGTTTTTTTTGTCATTTTCTTCTCCACCTTCGTTCTTAAGTGTGGTTGCCTTCATTTCTACGTCGAGGGGAATTCTGCCGTCGGTTTCCCTCGTCGACCGTGGGCCGAAGTTGTTGCGTACACATGAACAGTTCGTTGGTCAAATTGCTTGGACATGCTGTGACGAAGAAAATAAACAATTCGTGTGACGAGCTCACGTCCCAAACGCCAGACGTTGACGAGACTACCAATCGACATAAATCAGCATTTGGGGAGAACAGGGTGGTGGCGCGAAGGCCAAAATCGAGGATTAGTTCTCGGCGGGATAAAGTGAGGATTTGTTTCGCGGATCAACCATGCCGCACAGAAAGCAACAAAACCTCTGCATCACCCACGGCCATAGCACTAGTTGGCCCGTTTATGGCGCAGCGGCTACCAGGGGCAGTCCCTCACACGGCACGCTACCGCTAGAACTCGACTTCTCGGGTTCAAGGGGGAAAGTGGTTTGCGCCGTGGCATGGTAACCTCCGGGCAGGCCCGTGAAGAAAACACATTTTGGAGGTGAATCATCCATCACAATCTCACCCGGCGCCGCAGCCGGCTCCCAGTTCCAGTACCGTCTTCCCCTCGAGCCGCGAGACGATCGCCGGGCTCGCGACCCACCGGGCCAGCACGACGGCAGCGGCCCACAGGTTGAGGCCCGTCGTGTCCTCCCTCGCGTCGTCCCCGAAGCACTCGTCCGGGTTCCGGATCGGGAGCTCGCGCAAGAGGAAGCGCACCCCTCTCCTCCTCCTCCGCGTCTCTTCGTCGTCGTCGTCGTCGTCGTCGTTGTCGCCTCCTGCTGAGCCTGATGACGACGTCACTGCTTCCCCCCCGCCGATGCCAAACCCCAGCTCGTGGGTAATGCTCGGACCATCGCCGTTGCCGCCATTGTCTTCTTCGTGTCCGGCGTCGCCCTTCTTGCTGTTGACCGGCTTCGAAGACATCCCTTCCTTGTTCGTTTTTTTCTTGTCCTTGGACAGGCTGGACTGCTGCAGGAGGATGTCCTCCTCCGCGGACTTGTGGTTGAGCACCATCTTCACCATCTCCGCGTCGCCGGTCTTGAAAGCCTGGGGTTTTGGTGGCATTGACAAAACCGTCGAAAGCATGCATACGTTGAAGTGCCATTGAGAACAAGTACCGGAGTAACGCCAACCACCAGACCTACTCGGAGCACGAACTTTCGGCGGGCAAGAGCAACAGAAGCGCAGCCCTCGGTGCTGCCAGAGGCCACCCTGTTGTTCCCTCTGTCTTTTTCCGTCCTGCCCTGCCCAGAAGCAACTACGATAGGCGGCGCGGAGAGTGGTCCTCTACAGCGTTGCTCCCAAGGCCGGTGGTGTTTCATCAGAGACGCCCGGGGGATAGCTTGTGACGGACGACGGTTCCCTACCTCAGCTGCAGGGAATACGCAAAAAAAAATGTGCCGCGCTCACGTCTGATAGCGCGCTCTTGCCGAAGCCGTTTGTGTCGAGGACGTTCATCTGGGAGGACTCCGGGTACAGTTCCATGAGAAGTTTGACGCACACGTCGTGCTTATTCTGCACGGCCCACTGCAGCGGTCTGCGCGTGCGAGGACATAATCGGAGGCCATGGGTTGATGGCGATGGATCATGTGTCATGTGCTCGACGACACACCAGAACCACATGTTACCCCACAAAAGCCAAACACATACGACCGGAACAAACGCGGGGAGAGTTGTCCTGAATAGCCATGGTTGATAAGTGCTCTGGTTGAACGTGCACGCACTGTTGCCGATGGAGAACGTGGCATTTATCAACCCCGTTCAACATGAATCAGAAAGTGCCGCATAGCGAGTGGGCAGCGGGACATACAACACGGGCAGCTCAAGCGTTCGACAACGAACCAACTCACAAGAAAAAAAACTAACCGTTTCGACCTTCCGTAACAACGTTGGGTACTACTGGATTCAGTGTTCGGTCGTCCCCGTTAAGAATAAGTATATTCTTGTTAGCATAGGACATGAAGCGGTGTGAACCCAATCGCTCGGATGCGTGGTTCACAACCCGCAAGGAGAACAATCCATACCAATTTGTCCAAAGCCTTAAAAACTTGTATGAAAGCCCCAACAGATGAAAGTCTACATCTCACGAAACCCCGACATCACCTGTTGCCGGCTCCGTTGGGCAGGTGGCTTGCGCCCGCCTTGATGAGCGCCCTGATGACGCCCGCGTGTCCGTTAGCGCAGGACAAGTGCAGCGCCGTGTTCCCGTGGGCGTCCTGGTGGTTCGCGTCGACCCCGCTCGAGAGTATGGCCTTCACATCTTCCAGCTCACCGTACCTGGCATAACGCCGGCAGTGTAGCGGGAAACAGTGTTTGTGCGTGAATACAACACAACAGCAGTACCTAACCCAAAGATAGCTCCACTTTAAGGTCGGGGAGGGAAACGGACGGCAGAATACTCTCGCCATAAAAAGGTGATGGAGGAAACATGACACAAAAAACTTCTTGTGTGGCCTGCCTCCTGCGTGACAAAGGTCGATTGCCTCCAGAAACCGTACCGACAGTAGCAAGTGCTGCGGTCAAGGAGAATTAACAGGACGACGATGCGCACATGCACGTTCTTAGAAAATCTATATACAACCACAGGTATAATACTCTGCCATTCTACCCGTTCAAAATGTAAGGGCAGTTGTCGCTTTCCTCCAACAGGGGTGACCACTCACTGCTGTTGTCGTTGATCTGCAGAACAATCCAATCGGGGGCAGCTAGCCGTGATCGCTACAGCGCTCTCGCTGAAATACGGATGTACATGTTCGCGATGTTCACTACTACTGTTGTTTGATTAGAGCGGCTCCTGGGGGTGAAAGGCGTTGACAGACGTAGCGCTGTAGTTGGTGGTTGTTTTTCCATTAAGTACCCCACGTTGTTGTCGTGTGAGGCGGCTCTCCCATCTGCCCATTGGATCAAATGATGGCAGGTGCGGAAACATGTGTGCCATCTGCAGATTTGAAATATTGTGTGGTATCAACTGCAAGGCTAATCAACACACACCTGCAGCATTGGTTTTGGAGAACGGTATACGTTAAGCGGGTGGGCTCGACACGTTACCTTGAGCATTCCAGCAGGTCCGCGCCCGTGTGCGTGCTGCTGCTCGTCTCCGCCGCCATAGAGCTCATCGCCTTGGGCACGTGAATGGTCAAGGGCAAACGCGGCGGAACTACGTACGCTTGCTCGTGTCTTGTGTCGCGGCGGCTCAGGACCGGCGGCCTTCTTCCCTCTCACTAATACAGCAGAATACACCGAGAAAACTCCGACAACAGCGTGCCACAGCGTGGCAGTTCAGTGGTCCAGAAGACTGCGAGTCTAGACGAGGTACCGCTCACAAAGACGTTCGGAAGACAGGAGCGGACGCGAAGCAACCGCCGCTTGGGGGGACCGCAAATAGGAACGTTAAGGAGTTGGCTAGCGGGGATCCTGGGCGGGCGTTTTTGTGTTGTGAAACCCGGGGACAGAAATATGTCACTAGGTTACAGACTTGGTGGAGTGATCGAGCGCAGGTTCCCTCTGATAACTCTTGGTATTTGGGTGGTTGCCTCCTCTCCTCTCGGCCTCGATCACAGAGCGATTTCCCCCGCCACCTCCCTTTCCCCTAAAGCAACCCCGTGCTGCCGCAACGCGACAGCACCGAACCAAGTAGCGAACAACTCGCTGCCTGGTTCTCCCCACCCCACCTGCAGTACCATGGTGAGTGGACTCAAAGCCAAGCCAAGCACAGGTCTGGTCCGAAACGTGTGTGCTCCACAGCTGCTGTGCGGTTTCTGTCTGGGGCATTGGAGTTTCTGACAATTAGGCGGGGCTCTGCTGCTGACAAATACAAGAGGGAGGTCGACTTACTGTACTCCTATCCGCACTTGTTGGTGGCGTGGCGTGGCCCACGGAGTTGCTCGGGGCAGATGTTTGTGAGCAAAAGCTCTGTGAGTGGGTCTTTTGGGATCTGCGTAGTTGGGTCGCTGCTTGCTTGGGTTATCGTACGGCAGGCATCGACTCTTGAGCCAACGCACTCGCTTTGCCCTGTCGTCTTCCAGCAAACCTGCAGCATGCGGAGTAGCAGTGGGCTTAACGATAACCTTGCCTTCTATCTGAGTGGTTTTCATTTGGGCATTTTGCTCTAGCATTGGTCAGCAGAAAAGGAACGATGTATCGTGGCGTTGTCTCGAGCTCTCCGGTGTCTGGCTTCTCCGTGACAATGGCTGGCAACACACGATGTTGGTGGCCATTGGTGACATCATCTTGGTGGCAGCGTTGTACGAAGAGATACACTTCACCGATGGCCAGCGATATACATTTTTTGTGTCGCGACCATCATTTCATTGTTAATTGGTCAATGTCCAGGTTCCGGTGCACACCCTGATTCCCATTTCATACAGCGCGCAGTACTCCATCAACAACGGTCCGTAGCTCGTTGAGGTCTAATCGTCGTATACACGGCACTGTGAGTAGACTGGTCGGTACATGTAGACAGAGCGACAGAGTGGTCCTATTGTCAGTTGAGCAGGCGTGCTGTATCTGTTGGCAAGCTCTGGTCCAAGGATAAAGGGAAACTCAGATATTCTTGTCATGCAATCGAGTTGTGAGAAGGAAAGAATAGTCGGGCTGGGGGAGGGACTGAATGCGGGGAGAAAGACTTTTGTACGGCTCGGGTCTGTGCTTCTTAGTTGGCGACCGAAGTCCAGGGGATTTAACGGGAGTGGGAGGCACAAAGAAGACACCTGCAGTACACCCTCGTCGCCGACTTTTTGTTTAGAAAGTTGAAAATCGGAACACGGGTCCGCTAGTTTACGTAACATTATTTCAGCAGAGCCTTGATCTCCGTGCAGGCGAAGGATTGTGATTGTTGAGCTGGGATGATGACCGTCCGCCCTAGCGATTGCAAGGCCCGTCCCTCCTCGTGGCCGCCATCTCCCGCCCGTTCACTCCGCTGCATAGACAGTGGTCGTGTCGGCGTTCACGCCTCGTTGCTGTTACAGCTGTTTTGTCATGTTGGTGTGCGGCGGCCTTAAACCTTTCCAGCGCTTGCCTCTGTCCATTATGGCTTGGTACCTCGGTGTAAGTATGGTACAGCAGCCGATAATTCGTCGATCTTCCCCCCCCCCCCCCTCTCCCTCCCATCGCCACCAACATCCAGTTCATCCAAAAGAAGAACCGCTTGGCGGTTTACTCGTACCTCTTCAAGGAGGGAGTCCTTGTGGCCAAGAAGGACTTCTTCAAGGCGAAGCACGATGAGATCGAGGACGTGCCTAACCTCGAGGTGCTGGCGCTCATGAAGTCCATGAAGAGCCGCGGACTCGTACGCGAGACCTTCAACTGGTACGAGCGAGAGAGACGAGGAAATGGTTGTATGGGTCTGTTTGCCGTGATAGGGAAGGTTCTTGATGTTTGTGTTTGTCGTAAGCATTGCGTGTGTGGTGAGTCGGTCGTGAGAGGGAAGGCGACGTTTTGTGTGTGGTGAGTTGGCTGTGATACATCGTAGGGGAGGTGCTGCCGACTCTCCCGTGATGATTTAAGGCTACGATAGAGGGACGTGTGTGCGCGGGGTTTGTTGCTGGTGGTCGCGACCTCGATCTGGGGTGTTTAGCTTTGTGTGTGGCGTTCCATGTGTACCTGATTCCGCACACGATTTGATGGACACACGCCCGAATTTGTCGTGTATTTCGATTAATAGATATCCTTTGCCTGGCTATGTGTTGTTGTCCTACAAGCGAAAATGGGTGTCACCAATCAAAACCACGGCCAAATTAAGTTCAATCCAAACAGGCAAATATATAGCTCCCACGTTCACCCATCCTGGTCGTAATATGCCCCTTTTCTCTTCCCGAAAGCGAATCAAGGGCCTTTTGAAGCAAACCGCATCAACTTCAAACAGGCCAGTACGCATGCACCCATGTTCGCTGTACCCCATCTATGTACGATGCCCTTTCTCTCCACCTGGAAGTTTGCCTTGCAAATCCAACCCAAACCGAATGGAATGGAATCAAACGGAAACAGGCAGTACTTCTACTGGTACTTGACCGTGGAGGGCATCGAGTACCTTCGGGAGTACCTGCACCTTCCGGAGGAGATCGTGCCCGCGACCCTCAAGAAGAGCGCGTCTCGCCCCGCGCGCCCGGGACCCGCGCCTGGCGGTAAGCATGGCTACTGTATTCCATCGCGGCAGTTGTGTTGGTTTCTCATCAAACAATGTACAATCGTCTGGGCTGTGTTGCTGTCGTGAAAGTATGTCTAGTTCTTGTTGCCTATCAAACAGTAGGACAGACATTTTCGCATCGTCTGGGCTTTTGAAGTCGCTGATTTTTGGGTTGGGTATTGTTCGTTTATTCTAGACTCGGTTTTTTCGTTGTACACGTTGTTTGGTGGTGCTCTCGCTTACGTACGTGTGCAATATTTTCCTTGTAGAAGACCACGGTCCATGGACTTCCTTTTCTTCTCCGGATGCATGATTGTTAACTCGTCTCTTGTTTTTTTAACATCCCCTTCCATGTTGCCTATTCGTGACGACCGACGATTCGATAGGAGACCGCGATGGTGGCCGCGGCGGTTACGGTGGCGACAAGAAGATGGGCCCGGGAGGAGACTTCAACCCCGAGTTCCAGAGGGTAAGATCTTCTCGCAGCGTACGTTTCCAATGGGATGATACCGCTGTACACTGGGAGTAGAGGGTTGGTCGTGTGCTCGACCAGCGGGTCATGAACCGGCGGACTCGTTCACGATTGACCGTTAATACGAAAACTGGAGAGGAAAATTCGTCACCTGCGAGCAAATCGTTTTGGCGCCACGTGTTGACGGAGGAACAAACCCCACCTGTGATGAAGCCAAGCAAGGACCACGCACACCGCTGCATCCCGTGTCCCCACGACGTGTCACGGTCGGGACACGCGGGGTGCAGCGGCGCGGGTGGTCCTTGGTTGCCTGCACCAGAGATGGGGCTCTGTTTTCCCTTGAGTCCCTCTACAAAACGAACCGTTTTCTGGATACGCGTGACGAATTCCCCTCCGTATTCGTTGTTGTAAACGACCTTAAGTATTTCGTCGAGGCAGTGGTGTATCGTTGTTTGGGCACAGCCGAACCCTCTCCTCGTATTGTAGTGTAGTGTAGAGCAGTAGCAGGCGTAGACGCAGCTTCGACGGCTGGCCTGTGCTTTCATGTTGGAGCGCCTTCAGCAGAGCTTTGCGTGATTGTTGGTAGGTGCCGTTTTTTTAGCTCTGTTTACGCACATGTGGAGGTAGTGCACAACCTTTACTAGTAAGGTGTTGACGTCTTGCTCGCCGGCAATGCGAAGGTTAAGGAGAACGCCGCCCTTTTCCTCAGAAGGCGGTCTTTTCTCGTCAAGGCAAGTCGCCAGTTCACATAGCAGGCTGGGGGTCCGCCTACCCACATGGACAACATGTGGCGCGCCTGCACTAGTGACTTGACAACAACGCCTTGTATTTGGTTCGTCCTTCTTGGCTTATCTTGTGGACGTTTTCGCTGTGATGCACGTGTGCTGTCGATGACAACATCGTCCAAAAGCAGCATTAACTTTACATAATGCCCCCCCCCTCAGCCAACCTTGTTCACTATTGCCCTGCCCGACGTATTGGCTAAATCTGCTTGGCACCCGCTTTCTTTTGTCGTGTTTTGTGAAAATGACAGGGCGGACAGGACGGCTATCGCCGTGGGGGTGGCTTCGGCCGCGGCGGCGGCGGCGACTAAGCTCTACGCCCTGCTAAGGCTCTAGGCGCGCGCACCTAAGAAGCTGTGTTGTTGGCTTTAGCACCATGGGAGCGATTCCGGCGAGATTCCGGGCAGGTTCTGCAGCAGTACCACCGGCGCTTGCCTCACGATCGCATGTCCATCGAAAGGGTCATGTGTCGTTGCGAGGGGGGACGAGTAGATAGATCACACGACCTCGGTGCGCGCGCCACGCCAGAGCATGCGAATCTTGGTGTTGGTTTGGGTGTAAGGCGAGGCGTTGTGTGTGGTAGCCTTGGTTGTTGCTGCTTCAGCTGTCTTCTTTTGCGTCGCCGGGAGGCACCTATTGCGATCGGTCGCCGTCGCTTTTTTTGCCACGGTGAACGGCATCAATAATCAAGAAGCGGATTTAGGGGGGAATCGGAACAGCCCGGCACGCGTTCGAGCTGTATTCATACCTGTGCAGTTGCCCTTATGTGGGGTCTTGGCTGCACACCTTGGATGGCACCGTCATGGCGGGTGCGAACACCACGGCGACCCTGGCAGCACTTTCACTCACTCACTGTGGGGTCTTGGCCTCATTCAGCCTTGTGATGAGCCATGTGCTTGTGCTGTAACTACAGCAGTGTCGTTCCCTTTTGTCGCCACATGCTCGCAACCTTCTGTTCTTGGGCATGGCAGCTGCTGTTGCTTTTGTCACCGCCAAATTCATCTGCGTGCGCGCCGGCGTGGCGGCCGATCCCGATCGAAACTATGGTCACGTGGTGGCAAGAACGATCACGGCGTTCTGAGGCACAAGTCCCCCTCGGCTGCTGTTGGACCGGAGGTTCCTAGACGTGTGGCAGCAACTAGCCGCAACATCCTTTCCGCTTCTCCCTCAAAATAGGGAGTCCACTCAGACGTCGAATGAACAGCCCAAGCCGCCTATGGTCGGGACAGGAAAAAAAAAAAACTCATTTGATGCGTGAAAGACAGTAGTTACCTTTGTGTCGTCAGGTTTCAAGCACATTAATCTCGATGAGTGCAGCGCTGAAGCTTTACCACGTGTGTGTGAGGACTCCTGGTGTCAACACGCACCCTCGAGAGGCGAGATCATCTGTCGTCGAGGTGCGTTGTTGTTGCTGTTTGCGGTTTGTTGAAAGATCGTTTCCGGAGCTACAGCAGAGCTACAGTAGCTACCTGCTGAAAGACAATCCGAAAACAGCTACTTGGTGCCTGCCCTTTTGTGGCCGCTACAACAGGCGTGATGTCAAGTTATCGCAGCCCAAAACCGGCCATGGTGTTGCCTTGCCGAAGTTTAACAATCGCTGTGCGTGTCTGTCCTGCCCCCCTCCCCGGGTTTTGGTACACTGTCGTTGGCATCACGAGTACTTCCCAAGACGTACACGTAAACGTGCGCGTTTGTTTGTTTGCGTTTGCTCGGTGCTGGCACCCCCCCTCCTTGTACATGGTGTAGAGAGTGGACTGAGCGAAGAACCCTCTCCTCCGATGTCACTTTAGTTGGGTGGCTTGTGGTGGGGGAATGAGCTGTAAAGTCCCAGCAGGTTATGCGTCACCCTCGGCAGCAAAAACAGAAGCGATTGGATGGCAAATTGCTCAACGTTGCACATTCACATACATACACGTCAACAGTCTCGCTTCAGCACAAAAACTCACAGGCAAAACGTCTTTAATCGGCGACAAACATTTAGGGAAATTCAAAATGAAGTACACTCGCTCGCACGTGTTACTGACAGCGTGGCGACCCTCCGGACCATTGCGACGCCGTGCTGTGCACACTGCAAGGCACGGCTGGTTTTCTTGAGAGGCAACATCGACAACAGAGGTCCTCTTGCAGAACTAGCTGTGCTCCTTTTTCGCGAAGGCTAGAACTTTTCGAAGATGTTCGATTTTCTTGCGCACGTCGACCTCCTGTTGGGGTGAAAGTGCCGTCGTTCAGCGGAACAGTCCCCGGGGGAAGAGAGATCGCGCGCGTTTTGCCACGAATGAGCAACAGAGGGAAGAAACAAATCGGGACGTGGGATGGATGAGAGTGGAAAGGACCGGCGCACGTGGGGGGGAAAGAAAGGACAAACTAATAAAGGTGAAGGAGAGGCATCAACACGGGATGTCAGACGGAACCAAGCAACGGCAAGAGTTGCGGTTGCGGTGGGGGNGGGGGGGGGGGGGGGGGGGGGGGGGGGGGGGGGGGGGGGGGGGGGGGGGGTGAAACGCTTGACCATGGGAGAACGTCCCTTCCTCCCAGCCCAGATAAAAACCTCCATACTTCTCCAAGAAAGGCCGCATGGTGGCCTCATGTCCTGGTATCACTATGCCACCTACGGACGGCACTGCTGTTGTGCGAAACAACGTGGAATGCTTCCAATAACGATCGTGAACAAAAGTCTCCAGCAAGAGGGAGGTTTTGAGGCACAACTAAAAGCAAACAATCACCTGTGCGGGTAACCGTCCCAACAACGAGCCGTACTCGCCGCCTTCACCCTCGGAAGCAACAGAAGAAGCTCGTAGTTTTTGTCCTGTCTCGGCAACGAAACGCCGGATCGACGCCAGCTGAAGAGATTCAGAGGGAGAGACAGAGGGGGGGGGAGATACACGCACAGGGACACGGAGAAGTAGGCAGTCATATATATATTTATATAAATTTAGAAAGAGAGAGAGTGGAGAGCATCCGTGTATCCGTCAGTGATCTCCCGATGGTTCTCGAAACATTTGTGAGGATCGAATGTTTCTACACTTTCAACGCGTCCATATGGATCAGACGTTTCGTACCTACAAAGTACTACGTTTTCCAACACATGCACTTGTCATCGACATGCACACGAGCTCAACTTCAACAAAAGCAAACACCGTTGGAGGGCCGCCTGAATAACGTTCAAGATGTAATCATGTATGTGCATGTGGCGCCCAGACAACAACGTAAACAACGTGTAACCACGTCTGATGCTACCAAAAAACTAGCAAGAGCAAGAGGATTGAAAACCCCACCATGAGGAACACGTACGACACAAAATGCACCGTAACTCTGCCCCCCCCCCAGTAAAAAAATCCCTGCCCGAGTACACGAGGCCCTGTGAGACTACTTTTTCACAACAACAAAGCCCGAAAAAACGCCTGCCATACACACGCACTGGACCACATCCCAGTTGTGTTCAAACCCCAAGTACTGCCACGTAAAAAAGAACGGTCTCGAATGTTCTCATTGCCACCGGGCTGGACCACATCACACTTGTGTTCAACTCTAAATACTACCACGAAAACAAAAACGCCCCAGAACTCTCCCACGGCCACCCACCAACAGCCACGTCCAGCAGCAAACGACACCCACCTCGGCATCCCCTTCGCGCAACTGAGACGCGGATAGAGAATCCCTCGCTTCCTCCAGCTGGGCTTCCCCCCCGGTGGCCGCCGCCTCCGCGTCACCGAGAGCCTTCAGGAGGCCTGCCCTGGCCTCTCTGCGTGCCCGCGGCTCCGATAGCCGTTGCCGCAGCGAGGACGCTCGCTGCAAGAACATTTCCTGGTCGAGCAAGAAGAGAGGGTATCCAGGGGGGACCGAAACGAGGCAAGAGGCGGGGCCACGTGAACTTAGCGTGGGCTCACAAGGAACGAAAAACAAGTATGCGGGGAACGGTTGGTCATAAAAAAAAGCTGCAACGCCCCCCCGCGGGGGGTTGGTGACTTGCCTTCCCGTGGCGACGCAAGAGCTCATGGCCAAGGCTATCACGGTGTGTAAAATTGTATCTTGATACAATGCCGCGGTTTCCTTACAAACTGCAGAAATATTCAGGCGGCGGCGGAAAGGGGGTAGAGGTTCCTGCCTGTTAACCCCTCTGGATCTGCACTTTTTTTGTTTTCTTTGGCCAAAAAATGAAAAGAGGCGGGAGGCAGTGCGGAGAGAGAGAGAGCGAGAAGTTCAGCAATCTCCACCTATAGGCCATGAGGGCAGCCCATGACAGAGTGGAGAGGACAGACACGGCATAGAAGCATCGCCACCGACGGACGCTCACCACCGTACCGACGCCGTCTGTGAACGAGGACATGCTTGTTTTCGACAGCGACAGGACAAGCTAAGGAGAAGGGACGCTGACACGAGCAAGGGCCGGCGTGAACGACAAAGGACAGCGACAGTCCAACAACAAACAACTGAGGCCGCACCTTCTGTCTCCAATAAACCAATCAACATGAGAACTGAGGCCGCACATTTTCTCTCCAAAATACCAACAACCGACCAAACGTGAGAACCGAGGCCGCACCTTCTCTCTTGCAGAGCCCCCTTCTTCGGGCGCGTAGAGCCACGCCTCGGTCTCGTCCAACAACCCCAGAACGACCGCCGCATCGCTCGGGCTCACGTACGGAGACAGCTCCCCGTCGATCGGCTCGAGGCTCGACCTATCGCAATGTACCAAAACCGTGTTGGAGAGTGCACTATTTACTTGCTTTAATGTTACGGCGTTAAACTCGGAACTCGGTTTTGGAGTGTTCCAGTTGTGTAGCACCATTTTGCAGCTGCAAGCATTTATTTCTTCCGTTTTAAGGCCTCGGTGTTGGAATGTTCCAGTTGTGTTGTGCTCTCTTTCTCTCTCTCTCTCTCTCTCTCTCGCTCTCTCTCTCTCTCTCTCTCTCTCTCTCTCTCTCTCTCTTTCTCTCCCTCCCTCCCTCCCTCTCGCTCTCGCTCTCCCTCTCTCTCTCTCTCTCCCTCTCTCTCTTCCCCCCCACCTCTCACCTGGACGAGTAGAGGAGGTTCTCGAGCGCGTTGCGAGCCTCGTTTGCGGCACGCACCGCTTCGTCCTGAGCCCTGAGGGCCCGTTCTCTTTCGCGCGCCTCCTGCGCGCGAAAAGAGGAAAGATAAACAAAAACAGACGGACTTATGGGCAAGCTACAGGGCACGCCGCAGATTTGCCGTTTCGGATGTGCTGGCAGTCGGCGTGGACGAAGGGGGGCGTACTCACGTTTTGCATGCCTCAGCGTTTAGACCATCGGCCACAGACGGAGGGGACACAATAAATTAAACAGGGGGGCGGTAACTTACGTAAAGCAGTTTTGCAAAAGCCACAGGTGACCGGTGACGGAAGTAGGGAGGTTTTGCCCTCTCTAGAGCACAACGCTCTCGCATATCCAACCAGGCCGTACCCGTCTGTGCAAGGGAGCGCGCCGCCACATGGCGCGGTGGGAAACGAGAGACGCGTGAGGCCATCGAGTTCAAAAGAGTCCCCCTCACTCGCCCTCTCAAAGACGCGTGGTCCAAAAACTAAGACATGCAAAACAGGAGAGTACGCCCCCCTATCCCCGCACCTCTAGCGCCGGCCCTTCCAGCATGCCGCTGTACGTCTGCTTCAGACACACGGGTCGGCTCCGCCGGCGCGTGAACACCCGCGGTACCTTGATCTTCTTCTCGGCCTCGACACGCCCGACCGGCGTCTTCTTCTCCCCGCCTTCCCCCTCCCCTCTAGCCTTGGAATCTTCCGGCGTCCCCTCTATACCGACCTCTTCTGCAGCTGCCCTTGGTTCCGTTTTCGAAATGTCGTTGGTGCTGGTGCTGGTGCTGGTGCTGGTGCTGGTGCTGGTGCTGCTGGTGCTGCTGTCCTCGCTAGCCTCTTCCACCGCCCCCCCTTCTTTTAGCTCTCCGGCTTGTCCGTTTGCCACTTCCGCATTACCCTGCTGTCGCCTCTTCGCGGAACCAGCCTCACTGCCGCTTTCGCTCCCATCGCCAATGCCGTCACCGCCGCCCACCGGAGAGGACCCCNCCTCCTCCTCCTCCTCCTCCTCCAAAGACGCCGTAGAGGGCACCGGGGCGGGCACCTCTACGAGTTCCGTCACTTCTTCATCGTACTCCAGCCTGGACGCATGCAAACACGCGACACGAAAGAGGCACACACGCAGGCGGGGGCGTACGCACGAGAAAACGCGAAATATTAGAGGAGTGCCGGCCCCTGCATGATCATCCTCGCAGCCCAATGGCCTAACAACGAAGGCATGCAAAACATGACTACGCTCCCCACCGCCCCTCCCCCCCGTTGGCCTCCCAGACCCATCCCCTTCAACCGAAGAACGCTCACCTCGCGGAGTGCACGCTCGGCACCCCTCCATCGTCCACCCGGAAGAAAAAATTGACCTTGGTCGCCGCCACCGCTGCCGCCCGTTCGCTCGACGCCGACGCCGCCGACGCCGCCGACGCCATCCTTGCCCCCCCCGCCCCCCACCCCCACAGCACCCCCTTCCCCCTTGTGCTCGGTGTCGACTGAGCCAAGTCGATGACGTAGCTCGCAACGCGCTCCGCGCCTTCCATCAGGTGCACGTGAAGCCTTCCGCGCCCCCCGTGCTGCCCTCGATCTCTCATTCCCAGGTCCACCGTCACTTCCTCAGACCACGGGATCGGCGTGCCCGCGGGGACGTCCACCTCGCCGGTCGAGATCCCCCCGCCACCACCTCCCGTCTCCTCGCCCGCACCTTTGCCGTTTCGCAACGAGGAAGGCAGCCACGACCTCGAGGCGGAATCTCGGCTGCTGCTAGTTGCGCCCGTGTCACGGGCGTCCGCTGACCCCCCATTGCCATTGATGTTGTCCTCGTCTTCGCTGTCGGTGGGCCCATCGCCGGCGCCGCCGTCGTATCGCCAGACCAGGCGAAGGTCTCTGGTGAGGGAGTCCACGACCCGGAAAGGTCTGCCAGGAAGAGTGGAGGGGGGGGGGGGAAGAGCCAAAACCTGTTTGTGCTTGACGGTAATTAATTTGTGCTCTGCGGAATGGAGTGTTGAGCGGAATCCCGGCACCAGTGGTGGTGCGATTGCCCATGGCACCGTGCCGATGGCACCGTGCAGCAACCAACGTGGCTGTAGTGAGATCAGGCAGGACCAAAAAAAAGGTACACGCGCTACGAAAGCGGTGGTGCACGACATGCTTAGCAAAAGTCACAGCCGTGCGCGAGTGGACTCGAATTCAAGACCGGTACAACATAAGTTTACCGAGCAATAGCACATGTACAACGAAAACGGTTCACGCTCGAGTCCAAAAAAATGAAAAGCGCTCGGTCTTAGGACCGGAGAGCTACATCGCAGGTGGAGGTGCACAAACCATTCAACAAAAAACTACTATAATAAATACCAGCGTAACACAAAAACAGCATAACAGCTGATCGAACAAATGGGGATACTGCTGCAGGGGAGAGAGTACAGTGGTACCTGAGCTTGAAAATGGAGCTACGCTGGGCGGCGGCGAGCGCGCACCCTCTCGCCACGCTCTCCGAGGAGCTCATGGTCCGTCGCACTCGATCCCTGCACAAGGCCATTAGACGCACAGCACACACACAAAACACATATAAGACACAAACATACGCATGAGACACAAACACATGAAACCAAGAAGCACACAAACATGCACGTGAGACACAACGCACAAGCAAAAAATGAGGCACAAAAGACAGACGTTAACAAGAAGCACAAAAACTGATACACAACACGCGTGAGATCAAGAAGCACACGACCATACACGATACACAAAACAACACATGAACCATAAGAACGCCAACGCACACATCGGTGGCAACGACGGCGGGGATGGGGAGCGACAAGGCGAAAGCGCCGTCACAGGGTGACGAGAGTCGGAGACACGTGAGGGGTGAGCACAAAAAAGGAGCCGGGAGAGCCCTGATCAACCAGCGCAGTAATCTGCAAACACAAAGAGCAAGGCCATCAAATGGCGAAATGAAGACAACCCAAAACGAGAGGAAAGGACAGGAAATAAAAAAAGAGGATGCGTTCCATGCTACAGCCTACGGTAGCGCTACCAAGCCTACCAAAAACGTTTAAAAATAAAAAAATGTTCGACAGACTTCGTCTACACCCCTTGAAACACCAAGGCCCTCCACAGCCCCAACGCCGCCTGTCGCTCAGAAGCTTTTCATCGTTCGACCCACGATGCCCCACGGGGGGAGCAAGCAAGCTATCCAAGAGTACCCGAAAGTGCCCTCCACGGAGCGGCGCAGTAGAGGAATGTAGCTGCCCCCGCCGAGAAGCTCAACGTCTTCAACGTCCTCGGCCGCCATCCCCGCGGAGCGTAACGCCTCTCGACACGCGGCCGAAACCCCTTCGGCGACCCCGGCGCAGGCTTCCTCGACTTCTTCCCTGGTCAACGTGATCCTGTGCAAAAAACAAACGTGAAACCATTAATGTGAAAAATCAGAATAAGAACACACACAGAAGACTACCCATTCGAGATATACCCACAGTCGAAGGGGACGTGGTTAGTATTTTTAGTGAGTGGGGGAAAACCGGCTGGGTACTGGACTTGTAGCGCATAAATCGTCCTTGAGAGATAGACGTGGGGGACTTTGTACCCTATATATATATGTATCAGATTGTACCGTTTATCTGAGAGGCGATCTCCACGCAAGAAGGAGGAGCTCTATGTTCTGTCTCGATGGTAATGCGGCGCAGGCTTTCTCGACTTCTTCCCCGGTAAACGTGATCCTGGTAAAGAAACAAATAAAGGTGTGAAAAATAGGAAATCAATCGCCCCTCGACGGCCATGTTGGGGAGACTGTACCCTTTAATATGAGATCGTACCCTGTACGTGAAAGCGACCTCCACACGAGAAGGAGCTCTTTGTTCTGTCCCGATGGTAAGACGGGGTGCACGGCGACGGCGGTGGGTCCTCTCCACACGCTGTAGTTGGTCATTCACAGGCATTGCCGTTCGGCTTGGTGCCCAAGGTTTCACGTGATACTGGTAGTTATAGTTCAGTGATAGTTGCTACACCCGCTATGATACTTGCATTTTATTAGGGTACTATTATGGGAAGTGCACGGATACGGCAGCGGAACGAATGATACAGAACACAGGTCTGTTTGCCTTAGACCTTCCCGGGCAACGACAACTACGCGCAGCCTCTCTCGTGGTAGCCTGGGCTTGAAAAAAGAAGAAAGGGCGTCACGGAAAATATGAGGATACTAAAAGGCGGCGGGGCAATGGCCTGCCTCTCTGCGTCCAGAATATCGAACGAAGCAGTGCGTTCCCAGCAAGATAGTTCGGACATGAACCGCTGTCGATTCACCTAAGGTCTCAAGGACTCACGCTAGATCCTTGTCGCCATCGATGCAGTCCACGCTCAGGCGAGCTTCCTTGTTGGCGCTCAGGGTCTTCATCGCCGACGTCAACGCCTTGGCAAGGCGGAACTCCGCCCGCGGTCTACCCTCGACGGCTATACCCTGCTCCCTGTACAACCATGCCACATGCAATCGGGGAAGGACGACGGCGGGTCGGACAAGCGGGAAGGAACGTGAGAGGGGCGTGGCATTGTGCCCGTCTCCCAGCGGCCATAGTGGCTGGAGGCGTTCGATTGAGGGGGGGGGGCTGTACAGCCGCTATTAGTAAGCGTCGTTCGATCCTAAGCATAACGAATGCATGAAAAATGCCGTCTATTGTTGCGGAGGGAGGATCACATCCAGGTTGACCTGACCCGACGTCAGCCCTCCATGCACGCCAAGGGGACTCAAGAAGATATTGACACGACGCACAACTGCAAGCGCTAGGCCACTAGTCAAAAGGCTGCACCCAAAGCTGCAGCAGCGTTACTATAGCACAATCGAAACTGAACTTTACCTTGCCGCACGGCAGACGCGGTCGTACATGCAAGCCTCCGCGGCGGCGGTACCCCCTCCCTTCGAGCACCCTCGGCCGAGCACTGTCAGCCCCGACGTCGTGAACGATGCCACTGTCACCTTTTTTGTTGTGTTTGCGTGTGCGCCGTGTGTGCGTACGGGAGCGTAACGGTAAGACGAGAAGCACGGCATGCAAGCAGACGCGTCCTGATGGTCTCAAAAACCGGCATTTCGTTGAAGATGCCGTCGTGAGCCGACGCACACGTAGGTCCAGTGGTAGCCGAAACGACGGGGCTGCATACCGCTTCCCAACAAAAGGTACAGTAGTTGCTACAGAGAATATTGTACACTGTCGATGCCCTCCCCCCTTCCCCCCCGGCTTTGTAGTAGGCATGCGTGGCCAATGGTCTAACGACTACATAGGACATGCGTTTACATGAGTTCGCCCCCGTCCCCCGTCCCCCCTACTCTGAACGATGCGCTACCCACCTGCGTGCAGCTGTGTCCGATGTCCACGAACGCCACCTTGAGCGGGGGTCGCGCCCCCGCCGCCGCTGCCGCCGCCCCCGCCCCCGCCGCGGGCGGTGGCAGCCCCCCCTTGAGGATGCCGTACGCCAGCGCGACCGCCGTCCCTTCGTCCATCACCATCGGCATGGGCACCCCGGCGATGCTCGCCGCGTCGAGCACGGCCCTCTTCTGCCTCAGCGAGAAGTACGACGGCACCGACGCCACCACGCACGACGATGACGGCGACGAAGCCGTTGCCATTGCCGCCGCCGCCGGCCCGTCCCCCTTACCGTACGTTTCCCGGGCGACCACCCCGGCGCAGTGCCGGAGGAGGTAGGAGACGACCTCGCTGCCGCCGAGCTCGAGCTCCTTCCCCATGTGGCGCACCACGGCCCGGAGGCCGCCGCCGCGGCCGCCGCCGGTGCCTTCTGCGGGGCCGGCGGAGCTTCCGTCCCCTCTGCCGCCGCGGATCTCGCAGAAGAAGCCGGGCTCCGCCGTTACCGTTGTCGAGGAAGAGGAGGAGGAGCGGCGGGAATCTGTGGCGGCGGCGGCGGCGACGGCGGCCGCCGAGGGAGAAGAACTACTACCATCGCTGGTGCTGGCGGCAGCACCCTCGTCTTGCTCGTTGTCGTCGTCGCCGTCGTTGCTGAGGAGGGACTTGAGGTGGTGCACGAGGTTGCTGGGGTCACTGCCCGCGTGGCCCGTGGTGTGCTCGCCGATCAGGCGGTGGTCTCCGGCAAAGTACACCGCCGTCGGCGTCTGGCGGCCGCTCACGTCGTTTGCGACCACGTCCACCCCGGTGCGGCTGGCCACCGCCATCACTCTGTTTTTTTTTTGTGTGTTTTGGCCCCCACCCACCCGCCCCCAAGGTCAAGGACGGAGCCAGTCAGCTAGCGGAGCAACGTGGCGTTGCGAAGCCACGAAAGTGTTAGGTGTCGTTCCTCGCTTATTGATGGAAGTGGAGGATTGATGCCGACAACGTATCTAACGTAGCGACTTGCAGGGGCCAAAGCGAACAGCTACCCGGGGGTGCCGGTTGCACGTTGAAGTACCACGCCACGCGTACAACAAGGGCAGGGAGTGCTGTGGTGGCAAAGGGTGGGCTTGTCCGCTGAGAGCCTGCAAGTCTAGGTTCTGTGCCCGCCAACCTGGTCGATCCTAGACATTGTCTAACCGCGAACAACACCGGGGCGAACCGGTTNCCCCCGCCCCCCCCCCAACAGCCTACCTCCCTGACGTGTTTTGTAGACCGTGCGTTTTGCTTAATTACCACGCAGTGTTTGTTTCTCGCTTGGGGAGATCTCTCCGTCCGCGAGCCGCAGCTCGCCCCACCTTTTGGCCAATCCGAGAAACGTTTCCCTGCTGCGCTGGACGAGAACTCGAGCTGTGCAAACCGGCTCTCCTCCATTGCTCTTTCCCCTTCAGCTGTTACTGAACAAGAACTTGAGCTCTACCACTGATTCAGTGGTATAACTGGAATTATCAGTTGTACCGCTTGAGTTCTTGTCGCGTAAAGCTGAGAGGAAAGAACACCGGAGGGAGTCAGTTTGTACAGCTTGAGTTCTTATCAAGTTCCGTATATGACACAAGATAACACACCCCCGTGACCAATTTTCGAAGCTCGATTTCTCATCTGCAGGAATAGCCACAGCGCCGAAAACGGCGGCGTTGAAACCGTCTCGTCGAGAGCTTTTCGAAAATGTATCGTTTCGTTTATGCATCCTTTTCGTCGTGGAGTAATCGAGCTTTGAACATCGGTCCAGGGGGTGTGTTACCTTGTGTGATATACGGTAGTCTATGGCCCAAGAGGAAGAGCAGCGGGAAACGCTTCTCGGGAATGGCTCAAGCGCGGACGAGCTGCTGCCCGCGGACGGAGACCTATCTCGCCAAAGCGAGGAACATACACTGTTGCGTGGGAAAGAAGAAAAAACGCACGGCATACACAACACGCCAAGGGGGCAGGCTGTTGGGGGGGCGGCAGCGGCAAACCAGCGCACTCTCCGGCGGTGCAGGTGTAACAAGACCTCGTATCTTTCATTTCATCCACGTCCGCCGCCGTTTTCATGGCGCAAGCAAGAAGGGTAGTAACATTGTACAGGAAAATGCAAGACAGATTCGACACCGGTGTCGTTGTGAACACCGTAAGAGGTATGCTTGAAACTTGCTGCCACCACCACACGCAGTCCAGTCAAGATGTTCATAGAAAAAGCGCAATGCTTACAGCGCTGCGGCTGCTGCTGCTGCTGCTGCGGCTGCTGCTGCTACTCGCTGTTTTCTCTAATACAGGCGCTCACATGTTGTCGTTGCCCAGGTCCAGACCCCACACCAACGGCCTCCTTCCCGCCGGCGGCCCAGCAGCAGCAGCAGCCGAAGTCCATGCTGCCGCTGTCACAAGGGCAGCAGCAAGTTTCCAAGCCATGCCACCGCTAAATCGCTGTTGCCGTGTTCAACAGCAGTGCTGGAGCACACACAAAGCTTGTGCAAGTTCACACACCGGTTGCCGCGTGGCAACGCAACCGCCCGTTCGTTGCCGCCCGTCTCCTAGATCGAGCTCGCCGAAAAATGGTTTAGGGAACAATTATTCGGGAAACTTGGCCGCAAGGCGACCACTTAACTCAAACCTCTGTAGGTCTCGCGTAACGAGGTTGGGTAGATGTCCAAAAGGCGCTCGGGAGAGGCCGAGGTGTGGAGGTCAAACCCTGGGCTGGAACATTGGGGCTCCGTAGTTGGATATCCATCCATGGCGAGGGACCCCCATGCATGCATGTCGAGGATGTCGCCGGCGACCGACCATCCATGCGACAGTCGATCTACCCATGGCGTCGTCTCCGCTTGACCCCTTCCTGATGGAAAATGGCTTCGTGGTCCTTGATGGAGGGCTGGCCACAGAGCTCGAGGCACAGGTACACCGACTTCATTGGCAGATATGGCAATCTTAGAACTGTCACACATTGAAGTCCGAACACGGCCTTCTCTGCTTCATGCAGACATGACTCCTCAGGCAAGGACAAAAATACGATTTACGATACGTTTAGGAGGGGCCTTTCAAAGGAGCATCATGTGTTTTCCAGGCCCCTACGTGCATTTCGCTGTTGTATCCGTTGGAGAATGTGGTGACAACCTCGAGTGCTTCAACTGGTGTACTTCACTCACCTGCTGGCCTGATACAGCAGTACTACAGTCGACCCCGCTTTAAAGACACACCGCGTTTTTTTATTTTGGAGTGTCTTTAACGCGGGGAAGTGTCTTTAGGATTCCGGGGCCACTAACTCACCGTCCCCGGGGTCAATGGAGGTGTAACATGTGTCAAAATATGCGCATTTGAAGCAGGAATGCGACCACGAAATTGTGCTGCTTAAAAACTGCGACAGCACGTCAATTGAAGGCCGCAACACTACTGCTACTGTACTCCAATACTGTACACATTTTTGAATTTCCCTCCACCACCGAAACGCGGGAAGGAGTACAGCACGACCTATTGTAATGTGTACGGCAGGTGTTGTTGTAGGCTTTTCTTATCGTCAAGGCGTTGTCCTCACGGTGAACATCATGCCCGTGATATCGCGAACACACCTGAGACACATCAGTTTGTTGGAACTAGCTCTGATACGATACACGCAAGTTACCTGCCACATAGGGACCAAACAAACAAAGTCGACCCCTTAGAGGGATCTGAGGGACACTAGGAAACGGTCGGTAGCGCAGACCACAACATACAAAAAATCGGGCAAACCCACCGAAAAGAGAACACCGCTCTTCCCCAAAGGTCAACACGAGGCAAAAACACAAAACAAAAAATGCCAAAATTTAACTCCACGAGAAAGGCAAAAAAATCCCAAACAATGAATGTGGGCTGCCAAGTGTGTTGTCCTCAAACACCAAAAACTACGTCGCCCACACATCCCGAAGAGTCGCCTGCACCTCACCCCCCTCCTTCGTTCTTCGCTTGACTTGAGTTTCATGAGTGAACGAATGCACAGTCTTCGAAAGAAGGTACACCGTTTCGCTGTACTCGCCGTCTCTTCCGTTCGCGTACAAATAGGAGCGGACATCCTCGAGACGAGAGCGAACCTCGGCCTCTGAAATCGTAGATGTCATGCACGACTCTTGCCTACCGTCCTGGTCTTCCTCTTCACTGGACACGTCGTCTTCGACGTGTA